CGTGAATGCTTTGATCAGAAGCTGAGGGAAGAGGTGAGCGGGCGAGGCGGCAGCCGTGGCCTCCACGGCCTGGAAGGAGGTTTGTGGGGTGGCGCGTATATGGGGACTCGGCAATTTAAACAGATCCCGTGAAGAAACTGCCAACGACTAGGTTCCCCGCCGCTGTATGTTCCACTCTTCTGGAGCCATCTTATTTGCGGCCTGGCCTCCTGGCACAAGGGATTCTGGATTTTGTGGTTTCCGAACGGATCGAGACTGACACCCGAAGGACGCCAGCTTAACCGCTTAGCCCCTAGTGGGTCCTGTGGGTTTCCCGGCGTCACCTGGGCTGAAATGGAAGCGAGAAGTGATCGGGAACATTGTGCTGGCAGTTGGATCCGGCTGCACCGGAGCGCCAGCCTTAAAATAAGTAAAACCGATGCCCTTCGCCCCTAACCTCAAAAGCTGCTTTTGCGTCTAGAGGTTATTGAGAGCCGGCTCTGCGGTGAGCTCTGAGCTAGGCGCTGTGAGAACGCTCAGTAAGACTGTGTCTCGTCTGAAAGTGTACAGGCGAGATTCAAACCGAGAAACGGCCAAAGGTTGTGTGCAAGGCAGATCCTAGGATACCAGAGGCCCAGCCCGTTGGCTTGACCTCAAACTCGGGGGCTTTTCAGCCCATGCTGCCCCTTAATTTTTCCTCCTTTGCTGACGCTGTGGGTGCGTCCCAAAGCCTGACCTTCACTAGCCCCCTTGCACACAAGAACATTAACCCTAACCTGACCAGTTATTTATTTCTCACTTCAAGATTCTTCCACTGATACTTAGGTTTCCCTGATACCGTCCAAGTGCTGAGGGTGGGGATGGACTCTGTGATTTGCATCTGCCAAATGCAGAAAATTTGGAAAGCCAGTTGGTACACTTTTCCGACCCTAGATTTCCTGATGGATGATGCTGAAGAGTGGCAAGTTCCTGCCAAAAACAAACAAAAAAACCTGCCATGATTTACTGATACGATTTTTCTAACCCCTGAATATGGGTTATTGTTCATTTCCGCCCGCTCTCCCCACTCCCTAGTGCTTGTCTCAGAATTTTTTCAGCGGTATTTGAATAGAGAAGGGTGCCCCAGGGAAAAAAATGGTTCTTGCTTTCTCTATTCTGAATATGGAGCTGAGCTCTGACTGGGCTAACAGTGGCGTTTGGTGCTGCTGCTGCTGCTGCTGCTGCTTGTGTAAAGTAGTACCATTGTAATTAAACTCCGTGTAGAGATAGCATCTTTTCTTCCGGAGAGAGTCTGTGTTGTCACCTCAGTTCACAAATTCACGAAGCCACCTCCAGGGTGAAATGCAGCACCTATTCCCTCAAACTAAGCCCACGAAGGGATGTTCTCTGCACTTTCCTTAAAAGGCCAGATTTTTGTCTAAGGAAGTTTGAAACAGACCTTAAAATAGATGAGAAAGCTCTTTTGGAATTAGACTCATTGACCCCCATTTTTCTCAGCACTTATTTGTCTTGACTTTTTTTTAAAGAAGCTCTGCTAGGTCCTAAAATCAATCTGATGCTCAGTTTTTACCTTTCTAGACTTTCTTGTTACCAGACTAGTCCAGGCTTACACAAATCTCAAGTCTTACTTCAGTGATAACAAAAACTCCCAATACGCTTAAGGTAGCTAACATGCATTTATTGAACACCCACGTGAATGCTTTGATCAGAAACTGAGGGAAGAGGTTTAAAGAACAAAAATCAGATGACTAGATTGCTTGCCCTCCATTCCCTCACAGACAAATAGCAATTATAATAACATCCACAGTTTTTCTTGCTTTACATATATTAAGTATATAATGCTCAAAGGCACCCTATGAAGTAAAGTACCACTATTATACTCATTTTATAGGTGGGTAAGTAAAGCAAAGAGATTAGTGACTTACCCAAAGACACACAGTAAATAGCAAAGCCAGGATTCAAACCCAAACATTTTAGCTTCAGAGCCCAGTTCTTACCTAGCTATACTAAACTGTCTACTTAGAGAGAGCAAACATTAACTGATTAAAAGACTAGTGAATAGTTAGGAAGCTATGCACAAGCAGCATAGGACCAGGAGACAGGAAACCCCTGCCATTTCATAGCTGGGACCTTAGACCACTTGTGTCACTGGGCTTATTATCTCAGTTATAAAACCAGAGCTCTTACAACTCTTAGTAATTTTTTAGTTCCTGAGTACAAAATAATGAACAGATCAACCACTATAATCTCAAAACTATCACACTTACTTTCTGTAGAATTTGTCCCACCCTGCTTTGCATTCCTATTCAACTTTTAATGTATATTGCTGCCTCAACCAAACACCTCAAAGCCAGAGAACCGTCTTCCACTTATCTCCTTGGGCATCCAGTATAATAGCTTACATAGAGTGTGTTCTTAGCAGTACTTAAATAAAGTAAATAATTTACTTTAAATGTGACACAAAACAGAGCTATCTGATTAAGGTGGAAAAATTGATTTGAAGTATCCTAGATGTGTTTTGAACTAGGTGTGGAAGATGCTATGGGTAAATACTCAAAGGGAGTGGGAAAAGAAAGTGACATTTACTATTGTTACAATAGCGATCTTCTAACTGATGGAACAGACTCTTTGAGGCAATAAGATG